GCAATGAGTGAAGTTGGGTGGGGAGCCAGGACACCTGGGTTCTCTCTCTCCAGTTTGGGAAAAGAGAGCAGAAGCAGTGGGACCCCAAGCACCTGGATCATGCCCCCACCCTTGGCTTGCTGGGAGCAGGCAGCCAGGACTCCTGAGTTCTTACCCCTGAAATTGGAGGCCAAGATTTTGCTGGCCTGGGTGGCAGTGGTTGATGGGAGGGAGAGGTTGCCCCTGTGATTTTTGTAAAGAGAAAGAGACAATAAAAGGAGCAAGCTGGAAACTCAGCAGGAGGTGCCGGCTGGTCTCTGCTATGCCCCAGTCCTGAGCACTGTGGGGCTGGGGAGGAATGGCTGCTGCACCCCTAGCAGGGAGGCAGTGTGTGTCAGAGCCCAGGAAGAGGGTAGGAGGGCAGGGAGGCAGGAGTCTCAGCATCTGTTCTGTATTCTTCCCTCCATCTCTTTTCTCTCCCCACTGCATCCCCTGCTCTTCAGTCTGTCTGTCTGTTCATCCATTTCTCCCCCATCCCCTACTCCACATGTCTGTCTATCCCTCTTCCCCATGCCTTCCACTCTCTTCCCCCCACTCCCTTATTCCCTATCTATCTGCCTGCTTGTCCCTTCATCCATCTTCCCTCCACTCTCTCCTCCTCATCCCCTTTCTTTTCTCCCCCATCCCCTACTCCCCATCTGTCTGTCTGTCCATCCATCCATTCCTCTATCCCATGCCCTCCGCATTACTTTGCAGTCCCCCTTCTCTTCCCCATCCCCTGTCCCCCAACTGTCTGTCATCTATCCCCCCCATACCCTCCACTCTCTCTCTTCCCCATCCTCTTTCTCTTCTCCCCCCACATCCGCTACACCCCCATCTGTCTGTCCATCCATCCCTCCCCCCACGCCCCGTCTGTCTGCTCCATTCCCTCCTCACGGCCTGTTCTCTCCTCCTCCCTCCATCTGTTAGTGCTGCGTGGGGGGCACACGCTTCCGTCAGCGTCTGGGCTGGGGGGGAGGGGAGTGGGGATCAGGAGAGGGGGCAGGGGCTTTTCCTTTCCCCTGACACTGATTCCTATCCCGTCACCTCACTCTAAAGCCTGGCATGAAGCATTGCCCATGGTGGCCAGAACTGTTTCAGACCCTTCCCTCCCAATCTCCTCCAGCCCCTGAGTGCCCTGTGGGGTGAAACCGCAGACTCCTGGCACAGCCCCTCCTGTATCCCCAGCCTGCATGGCTGTCTTTTCCCCTCTGCATGTATTCGCATCTAATTATCTCTGCCCGCCAATTCTCAGGGGTGGGTTAGTTCGGGACAAGGGGCTGGGAGCCAGGACGTTTAGGTTTTATCCCAGCTTGGAGAGGGGGGTGGGGTCTAGTGGGTTAGAGGGAAGGGGGGCTGAGGCCAGGACACCTGGCTTCTATCCTGGGTCTGGGAGGGGAGTGGGGTCTAATGGGGTGGGGGATTCTGGGGCCAAGGATGCCTGGCTTCTTTCCTAATTGGGGAAGGGGAGTGGGCTCTAATAGGTTGGGGAGAATGGGGGCTGGGACCAGGACCCCTGGGTTCTCCTATGTTCTGGGAGGGGAGTAGGGCCCAGTGGCATAACAGAGGGGGTCAGAGTCCTTGGCACTGCCTGGCTGCTCTTTTCCCCCAATCCTCACCTTGCCAGGGCTGGCTCTGGCCCTGGCAGCTTGGCGCCATCTGTCTCCCATTGGGGCATCCATCCTCCCTGCACCTCGGTCTGGGCAGCTGCCTCCAACAGTCTGGGGCTGCAGACAGCTGGCGGCTCCGGGACCCCGGGGAGCCCATGCTCAAGGATGGCCTGGGACCGCAGATGCCTTGTTGGAAGGGTTTTTTGTTTGTTTGTTTGCTTGGGTTTTTTTTGGGGGGGGGAAGGGGGTTGGGACTCAGGATGCTTGGGTTCTGCCCCAGCTTTGGGAGTGGAGTGGGGGCTGGTGGGTTAGAACCAGGGGAAATGGGGCTTGGACACCTGGGTTCCATCCCAGCTCGGGGAGAGCAGTGGGGTCTGGTGTGTTATTGGGGGTGGGGAGGCTGGGATGTAAGGCTCCTGGGGTCTCTCCCAGCTCGGGGGTGGGGGTGTTGAAGAGCTATGGGGCAGAGAGGTTAGAAGCCAGGACTCCTGCCTTCTACCCGAGCTCCGGCAGGGGTGAGGGGGCTGCGTGGGGGCGGGGAGCCAGGATGCTTGGGTTCTCTCCCGGCACCGGGTACGCAGCGCTGAATGCTCCGTCCTGTCCTCGGCGAGCGGAGCTGGCGTTTCCCTTCGGCGCGGAGCCGAAGCCGGGATCTGCACCAGGCACCTAGCGGGCAGCAGCGCCCGGCTTCCAGGGCACCTGACTCCTCGCGGTTCCCCTCACTCCCGACCCGTAGCCCCCGCCTCACCATTCCTGCCCCCCGATCCATCTTGGCCCCTGCTGGACCAGCACCCTGGGGCTGAGGCCTGACAAACTCGCCTTCCTTGTAGCTCTCAACAACTTGCAACAAGCGGGACCCGGCGGAGTCGGCTGGCGTGGCGGTCTGGGAGGCCGGGGGCGCCAGCGAGGCGTTGGCATCTACACTTCCAGGAGCTTGGCTCGGCTATGGGCAGGGCAGAGCCCGGGGCAGTGGCTGCGGATTGGGAGGGACGAGCACTCACGGCGGGGTGGGGCAGGGGATTGCGGGTTGGGAGTGAGGGGTGTCACGGTGGGGAAGGGCAGGAGTGAGGGGCACTAGCAGGGCGCAGGGGGCTGCGAGTCGGGAGCGAGGGACACCCTCAACCCTTGGGGGCAGTGAGGGGTATTACTAGGAGCCCCCAGGTCTGTGGGACAGGAGCGCGGGACACTAATAGGGAAGGGGGGTGCAGATCGGGAGTGAGGGGCACCGGCAGGCCCCCTGGGAACGAGCTAGAAGCCCGGACGCCTGGGTTCTCCGCAGTCGCCCGTCCCCTCCTTCCCCCATGCCCTCTCCATGCCCCTCTCCTGTCGCGGGCCGGTGGCCGCGGGCGCTGTCCGCGGTGCTGAAGCCTCGGGCATGGTGCTGTGAGCTGTGCGGAGCCATGCAGTTCAACAAGGAGGAGTTTAAGAAGTTGGCCGGCGGCGCCTTGGGCCAGCTACACCGGTAAGAGACGGCGCAGGGGGGAGACCGGGGCATGGCCCCCAACACAGCACCTCCCTGCTTGACATCGGGTCTCCCCCGGTCAGGATCGCCCCCCCCCCATATGAAATTGGGGACCACCCATCAGAATCGGGTCCCCCCCTTAGTGTTGAGCTGGGTTCCTCCCTCAGTCAAGATTGCTTCCCTCCCAGCCTGGAGCCAGGATCAGGCTCCCTGTGAGGGGTCAGTTCTCCCAGGTCAGGGTCATGTCCCCCCCAGGTATGCAGCCAAGGCCCCGCCTTGGTCAGGATCAGCCCCCCATCAGCCCTCCCCCGATGCCTCAGTGTGAGGCCTGGATCAGAGGCCCCGTGCGGGATCGTGTTTCCCCTCAAGTCAGGATCAGGTCCCTCTTAGTGTGGACCCAGGATCAGGGCCGTGTGTGGAGGTCTGGGATAGGGATCCCTTCAGGTGTGAGACCAAGATTGCCACCCCCCCACCCCCTGCCTCCCTCCTCCCCCCCACC